TGTTTTTAAGTCTGTTAAATAAAGAGAAGATAAGACAGGGGTGGATATAGAGTAACCTGGCTCTCCCCCCCCCCCCCAACAGGACAACTGGTCCCAGTGTTCCCCCCCCCCCTTCCAGTTGAAATGGTTTAGAACTGCCAATGAATACAGGACCCCCCAGTGTGTTCCTTGTGCTACTGCACGAGTGAAGTATTTCTTTATATATACACACACACACTCTTTTGTATTTCATGTATATTTTTATTATCCATACACACATACAGTATATGTAGTGTGTGTATGTATGTATATATATATGTATATATATTTAAAATCCCATGACATATTTTGTTTCCCATTGTGCTGTGTGCTTCCTGAAGTATATAACAGGAAGGTATCTGAGCTGAATACACCTGGACACCTTCTAATAACCAAACCAACAAACAGCACATTCTTGTCATGTCAGATTCCTTCCTTATAATTGCCTGGAGGAAGATTAAAACGGATGGAAAGGCCACGCGAGCATTGTACCTGAGTTCTACATTTGTTTTATTTTACATGTGTAATTTATGCAAATTACTACTCAAATTACTGAACAAATTTCTTTGAAGAATGTTGTATGCTCCCCTGCTTATTTTTGATCCGGGGTGCTGCTCCTCTCCTGGTGGAACAATAAAAGTTACAGTGTAATTGTAATTATTTGCTTTGATTGCAGACATTATTATCTTTGTTTCATGTGCAAATGTGGCCAAGCCACACATTTGAATTTTAATACAGGAAACTTGATAAACTGGCAGAAAGAACTGGGAGATATGTTAGTAATTAAGACTTAAAATTCTGCATTAAATGGTGCTCTTGATTCTGTTATTGTTCAGACTTAATAGCAGGTAAGTCTACAAGTTTGTGTCTCTAAAGGTGTGATTAAATATTTCATAAAAGGTGTTCCTTTATGTTGTCTGTCCAACTTGAGTGTCTGCGCTCACCTTTGGGGGATGATACGCACAAAAACAACTTTTTGGATGAAGGCAATATTCTAACAATCAAAGTAAGACTAAACTTCACAAAAAAAAAAAAAAAAGAACGTGGGTGAATCTCGATATGCGTACTTCACGTGTTCTCGTGAACCTGTTTTACGTCATCTTCCATTGCCGAAGACACAAGTACAGAGGACGGTAGAAATCTCCGGATGTTGGTCTTGCTCCGCCCCAAAGATACATGAGTGTATCCTTGCAGAACGAGACCAATCCCATGATTCATTGCGCCCCAAGGTCATTCTTGGGAGGCAAGTTGGCAAGACCGGTCTTGCCAAGACCACAAGTACGGTCTTTGCGTTCTTGGTGTTGAGATTCACCCTAGCATTCAGGTAGAAGGGACTATATTTATTCATAGTCTTCTCACCACACTGGTATTGTGGAGCTAGCCATCTGTCATATGGGTGTTGTTAATTATTGACTGACACGAGCGCTCTTATTTTGATGGCTTTCTTATGCTCCTCCACTTTCCCCTGGGATTTGGCTGCTTAGTGACTGGTATGTGACTGGTGATTCTGGACAGGGTTGAAGACTTAAAAAGCATGGAAGGATGTTGTTCAACCATTCAGTACAGCATGTTGTTCTATAACTCAATAGTGGCGTTCCTGAAAAAACTCCAGTTCAGCAAACTGGTGCTATAACAACATGGGATTATGCAGAAAAATGGATTTAGACGCAAAGCACTCAAAAAAAACTAATGCACAAAAAGGACATTTAGTCATGTTTTGAGAGTGTTAAATGAGCTTTATTATAAAAGTGAAATGTGGATGAATAACCAAATAAACAGGATAACACATGCTGGGTTGATACAGTAACTGTGTCATCGGCTCTCCTTGGATATCTCTGCAGCTTTGCACAGCTGGGTGATGTTTTCCTCATTCTGGCGCATAAACGAACGTGAACATTGCACTATACTGTCATTTTTCCATAATCAATCAATCGCTTTGGAGCAAATTAGCATTTTCAGAAACATGCGTTATAGGAAAACATTTTGTATTTGACTTCAGCCCAAAGCGTGTGCTTTTATTGTGTTAATTATGCTTATGTAATTGTGAGCCTCTGATCAGTCTTAAACCTTAATTGTGTCATTAAAGTCATTTGAAGGAGATGGTAAGTGAATTCTCAGTGTTGAGGTATATTGATAATTAGAATGTGTTCTCTAAAACTCGCTGGGTTGTGGAGAACCAGAACCAGTTGTCTCCATAGTTCTGTTAATCTTCCAATCTCTGACCTCTTGATCGTACCTTGTTTTTTAAACTCTGTTTGTTTGAAATACACACAGTAAGTAATGATCATTTATAGTATGTTCCTAAAGTGTGTTTTTGGAAAGCTGAATTAGTGTTTTATTTTTGCAGATATGTAAAAATAGTGTAAATGTGTGTTACAGTGTATGAGTTCCTGTGCAGCTCCATAAGTTGTGCACACCCAGAATGCTCCACTGAGTTTATACCTTCCTGCTAGGATCATATTATGGCGTAATGATGATTACACAGGGGCCCAGTGTGTTCCTTGTACTGCTGTATAAGTGAAGTGTGTGTGTGT